AGCCTCCCTTTGACCCATGTTGACCATGTGGTCAAAGTTGGCGCCTAACGAGGGATAGGATTATAGCATTGGTATCGAAGCCCAATTCGATTCTCGTGGCTAACGAGTGGGGCAAGAATATTCTAAAGGAATATTCAACATGGTGGATCTAGAGGGAGAACCAAGGTTTAGTAGACCCTAAAAGAAGGACCATGGTGACCAGAGGGTGGCCTAAGTATGATCGCGGACGATCATGCCCTAACGAGGGGAGGATTGTTAGGCACCAAGTCAAGATAATAGAATAAGGAAAGGGCCCTACAATCAAGTGATCACCCCTTTAGCCAATTGGCTTAGGGTGTAAAGGATAGGATCCTAACAGGCACTCTCCCCTGTGTGCTCTTCTCCCTTTGACTGCACATTTGATAATATAGGTGGTTTCTCAAGCATGATGGCATTTAAAAACCTGATCAATGACCTTTTATTTTTCTAATTTTTAGGGTCTTGTGCGAAAAAGGAAGGGGAGGGATGGCTTGGAGCTATTGTGTTTCCATTGGCCGGCTGCAAGCCACCCTAGAACTGGAAAGATGGGGCTCCAAAGCACTAGGCAAGGCACAATTGCCCCATTGTTACACACCCTTTGCAAGAAAGAGACCAAAAACACTCTTCTATCCCTCAGATTTTCTCAGGGCCACTAAATTGCTGCTAGTAGGCCATGAGGCACTCTCTCGTGCTTTAGAAATCCTCCCTCAAACTCTGTCAATCCTACACTCTGAAGATCTGATTTCTAAAGAACACTATCAAATTCAAGGTCATAATCCCAGGGCCATTATGTTGCCACTAATCAGCCATGGGATGCCTAACATAAGCTCAAGGCTTGTCTTTTCACAAAAGAGGTCCTCAAAGTACAACTTGAATAAATTCACGTAGAATATGGGTGCATTTTCTCCATCTTCTGAGGAAGCTTGAGGCAATAACTAATTTGAGCCAGCCCTTGTTTAAAGAATTTAAGATCAACATTTGGAATTTGTTGAAGAATTCCTTAGAATGGGCTTAACAAAGATAAATAAAATATGCAAATTAGCAACATAGAGATATGGGGCAAGAAGGTGCTGAATACTAAGAACCTCGTAGGATAAGCCAAAAATTAACCTAAAAGTAAATGAAGCTCGAGGGGGATGGCCTAAGTCTTTCTACCATAAATGCCTCCACTACAAGCAACTTTCCATAATACTTGGCCATACTGAGTTATATGGGACTTTCAATAGCTTATCCAATGATGACTTCCTATAAATTTACTTTAAAATTTAAATTTGGTGAGTTGTCATAGCATATTTTCAGAAGTCTTAAATGAAATATCCAATTTGTCTAGTTTTTGGAGACATAACATCACAAATAATCCTTCAATTGTTTATTCATATTTTCTGTTTGTCCATCTATCAAGATTCATTAATATCACAGAACTTTATTCAATACTTAATATTTGTAGGTGATAGGCTATGTTGAATTTTAGTTTGGTGTGATATTCTTCTAAAAGAGTCCTCCAGAACTTATTAGTTAATATCTTATCTTGTTCTGAGATAATTTTTTCTAGCCTCCAAGAATAGGTAAGCTTTCCCTCTTTTTTTAAAAATTATTTTGCAAATATTGTGAAAATCATGGAGCACTAGAAAGACAAAATACAGCACCTTACTCTTCTCTTGCTCAATACCCAGCCTGGGAAAATATCTCTCTCTCTTTTTTAAAATCTTTAAAATTCTTTTTTAACTCTTGATTATCCAGCTCCTAGTCACAGCCATGGCTCTTGCACCAGAAAGCTCCCTGCCATGCTTATACTCTCAAGGTGATTGAGAAAAGTGATATCTCCAACTTTGGAGTGGTGCCGCTGGAGCTTGTCTTGGGCAAGAGTCCGATCATGGTGGAGTTTAGCAATAGAGTGGACATTGCAAGGTGTGTCTGTGACAAGATAGGGCACTGCCTTCCACAACTACTCTTCAACCATAGCAGTGCCATGGTGTTGGAAGCCTTGCAGCCCTACACTCCTCAGCCATTACATCCTAGAGATGGTGCTCAACTCAAAAACCCTAATGAAAATATGACTAAGTGTTTAATTTATACTGGAAGCCTTTGATTCTAAATTTATTATATTTTATCCATAAATGAATACTTTAATGACTAAAATACACTTCTTATTTAAGGAGGAAATTTTAAATGATAAGTCACTAAGTCATGGTTTTATAAGAATATATTAAATATTAAAAGTACTTAATAAATAATACTTGATAAAAATTAAAATTAAAAATTCATGATTTAAATTTATTTATTTTATTAATATTTTTATTTTCATAAAATACTTAAAATTTATTTATTTAAACTTTAAATTTTAGTTTTTAAAATTTCTAAAAATAAAACTTAATAAGAATTCAGAAGTAAAACCTTTAAATCAATTTAAAGTCATTTTATAGTTGGCCTATAGTACCTAAACCATAAACAAGAAACATCAATTTTTTTTATCATACTTACTTATCTGGTAAGTAAACAAAACTGTGTTTTGGTGTAAACAAAACTATGTTCTTTATGAGTTTTGTTTACTAATAAACTTTTAAATTTAAAAAACTAAGTTTTGTGATTTCTATATATAGTTTTTATACCTAGTATTTTTACCTTAGTCCAAGTGCTTTATATATTCAATCTCACTTTCGACACCCAAAGGTACTACTGACATCTCAACCTATTATATTAAAGTTATATTCATTCACCTTTATCTCATTGGTAGTCTAAGACCATTTGCAACACAATCTTGTCTCTCCAAAATTAGGCTATCCATTTATAAGTGGTCATTCCATGATCACACCATGGCATATTTAAAATGCCTTAAGCCAAAGAGAACACCATCTTCTAATATCCCTCCTTCGATCTCTACCAAGTCCCTCTTTATTCATGGCAATGCTCACCAACACTACCATGTGTCTAGGGCCTAAAGGCCCACCCACAAAGCCTACTAACCTTTGGGACTTCCTCACCACGTAATTATACCCTTGGTCACCAAACAAGAGGACCACTCTTCTTTTTTTCCATAATCTAAGATTTTGGGATGATGTTTCGAAACACCATGATCTAACATAAGCCTTGTGGGTACTTGCCCCACCTTCTGCCACATAGAGTTTGAAACTAGGTTTAAGACCAAGATCAAGACTGAGACTGCAACCAAGACTAAGTCTTAGTTTAAGTCTAAGTTCGAGTCTAAATCCAAGGGTAAAAGCCCAAAGTGATTACCTCCCAAACCTTAGGGGTTTAGTGAGTCTCTATATGATAGTAGGGGGAGGGCTCCAATGGAACCAATTTGGCCAAGAAATGCTAAGGAAAGTTAAACCCATGTAGTGGGTGATGATAAAATCATTAAGGAGTCCAAGGCTAGAGTGTATATAAATAGACAAGTGGGGTAACTTGGTAAAATGTTCCAAAGTTAACTTTAACTCTTCTGAAAGATTAGATGGTCAATACTCATAATCCAAGTATAAATGGCACTATTTACTTGGATACCTTGTGTAGCTCATCGGAACCTCACTCCTACACTTTTGCATGTTATAACACTTGTTATCTTTTATCTTCTTTTCAAGTTTCACTTTATAATTGCTTCGTGCTCATTTTTTGAGCACTTCTTTGGGAGTTCCACTCCTGCTCTTGACTTTCTAAGTTGGAGCTTTTAGTCCAAACGTGTCATGTTTGTTGGGCTTCTGTTTCAGCTACTACCATATGACACACTTTGGGCTCCACTTTAGGACTTAGGGATTTGTGTCTCACAATTTGCTTTTTAACTTAAAGCATACCATAATATTCTTCTTCTCATGTTTATAATGGATTTTGCAATCAAACTCAATCAAAACCCCTCCCCCCTTATATGAAAGCATGATCTCTAAGACAAGCTTGAAAACTTACTAAATATGGAATAATACTAGTTCGTGAATTAAGATGTACTATGATTTTCAAGACACTCTCTACATTTTGTAGATATACCTCACTTGCCCTAAATAGCACATGGGACCAAAACCAGACTAACATATAGGGCATAATAGTAAGGGTGGTAAACTATTATGCAACAATGTTAAAGAATTAAGCTCAATATGCAAAGGTTTTTGCCAAACCAGTACAAAACATAGCAAAAAATAAATAAAACTAAAAGCTAGGTTAAGTATGTTTAATAAGAAATACATAGAAGTTCTTACATTATATTTATCTAGTTAAATATACATACTAAGGCAAATTTACTACACTGGACTAACAAAGGGAACTAATAATTCCAATCTCTTACCATTTGGCAATAAAGAGACATTGTTTGAAAGGATTAGCTGATTAATATCTTTTGATACTTGAAATAGCATCCACAACACTTATACACAAATACTTAACTAAGTCTTCAGATGTCATGTTATATATAGCTCTGGTATTAATCATCATTCAAACTCGATGTCCACAGACAAAGTTTATAAAATACATTAACATATCAATGTTTGCATTAACTGCAAGAAAGATTTGAGGAAAATAATTCACCTTTTTTTTCTCATAGTTTACATTAGCTAATTTGTCAATCCCTTCAACTTCACCACATTTTCCCTCGTGATATTGATGCAAAATTTTATATTATGCTTATTGGGACATTCCAAGGATTTATGTCCTATGACCAACCTGAGGTTTAGGGTTTACCGGTTTTTAGGGTTTAAACCTGGATTCTTAAAAGCTTACAAAGTGCTAGTGTAGTGGCATGTATGTGGCACCGAATTTTACCCCCACTCTGCCAATAGTCACAAGCACAGGTAAATCCAGTCAATTCTTTTAGGTGTGTTGTTGGAAAGGGCATGGGAGTCGTCACCTCTTTTGCTCAAGTTTGGAGAAAACACTAGGGCAATACACATAAATGTGTGATCCACATCAGTGCTTGCGGTATACAGGGATATTAATAATATGTTGATTTTTTATGTACATTGATGAATACCTTGTTGTTTCCTTTTACAGATAAAAGACAATGAGCAAACATTGAATCTTAGGTTGAAATTTGTTGTTTACACTTAAATCGCACACTGCAAATACTTTATATATCTAAGCAACAAAATGGGAAGTACGAGCCTTCCGAAGCCGCCGCTTGCAAGGAGGTAGAGATTCATGTACTCAACAGCGCTTCAAGTGCATCAAAGAGAAGCGGTGCCATCTCCGGGGATACCGTCTTGACGGCGCACTTAACACCTGCCGTCCCAACCACGGTCGCCAGCTCCAGAAGGAAAACAATGTTGGGGGGAACTTTGGCGGACAGGTAAAGCAGCTCTTGCCTCGTTTCTTTCTGGGCCCTGCGTGCAATGAAAAACAGGTTGGTGGCTTGCAGCTTCTGGATTGCTGACTCCACACTGTTGACACAAACACTGGGTAACTCCTTGATAAACTCGTGTGAGTCGGGAATAGTCTTCCAAGTCTGGGCAAGGTTGAAAGGAATTATTAGTCAGAGCACGCAAGCGCTAAGAAAAAAAACTTGTACCTCCAGAAAGTGCTGTCGTTCCATTTTCCCATCTTCGCCAAACAAAGCTTCGATAGAGATCTTGTCGTTGAAATACCAGACTGGCTGCTGGTTATTCTTAACAGCAACTTGGAGAAGGGAGTTTGGAGGGCCGGGAGCAACGTTCTGATACATCACCATCGGCAGCGCCACACTTTCGGATCGTCCAGGTACCAAAGGTGGCAGTTGAAGCGGAGCCGCAGCTGCCAAACCGAATGTGTTCTTGTTGAACTGTATCATGAAGCCGTCCAGTGGTATCTGTGAGCTGTTCTCGAACGTCAGGCTGTAAACCACTTGACCATTCCTGCGAACCAGCTTGCCACTAATTTGCAAGCCCTGGCCCGCGGACGCACTAAGCAGAACTGGCAGTGATCTGTAAGCAACACAAAGAATGAAGACTTCTCTTAGCACGTCAGTTCACACACTCTTACCTGGTCATTGATTGTTGATCAGCTGATCCATCCAAACCCATCAAGTCTCCTAGAAGATCAGGAGCAGCAGCAGGCTGCCCTGGGACACCTCCTGGCGCAGCCACGGAGGTGGTAATCTCCGAGACTGGTGCAGAAGACGACTCTGGATCAAGACTCTCTGCTGCATATTCTTCGTCATCGTCACGCTGGACTGTTGCACGGACGCGGCTCACAAAAGAATCCGGAGGCTTGTGGTAAACCGAAGCCAACGTAGCAATGTTTGAAAGCAATTCATCCAAGAGCGACGGCTCCAACATGTTCGAGTCATCATTAATGGTCGGCTTCTCCGCGAGCACGACATCCTTGGCTGCCTGCAAGCACAGAAGAAGCATACAAGCTACCAACTGATAATAAACTATAAGAAAAGTCAACACAGACCTCCGGATCCGTGGAAAGCAATCGCCAGTAAATGTATGCACGATCGCGAAGGTCTGGATTATCCGTCTCTTGTGTTGCATTGTTAAGCACAACCTGCGGGAGAAGGAGCGAGTGTAAATATAAAATAAAGGCACGGACATCAACCTGAATCATTTGCTGTGGCCCCTCCGTTGGTTTCTTCAGGAAAAGCTTCACAGTCGCCGTCAGCAATTGCAACTGGACCTGGGCGGTCTCCTCGGGGAACGTCTCGAGGAAACCTTCGAGTAACTCATCCGCATTGTCAATGCGCTCCGCGTATTCACCAATGATCCAGATCATGGACGCCTGCAGTGCACAATCATGGACCAGGCGGTAAAAAAAATCTCGTTTCTCTCTTCGTAAAGGTGAAACGCGAAGGTAAACCTTGGCTTCGGGTTCATCCAAGTTATCCAGGTTCTCACAAAGCGTTGCGATTATGGACTCGTACCTGCAAGCACGAAATTGTATTTTTTCAAAACCGTGAGAAACGACTTTCTTACGTGTTTGGATAGCGGCGGAAGATGTCTTTGATCACTACTATCGCTTCCTGCACGACATAGTTAACTTTGAGCTTTATGAGCTCGAGGAGGACGCTAATGCAGCGCTCTGCTGCCCGCTCAAGCTTGATAGCGCATCGACCTATGGCTCGAACGGCTTTTCGAACAAAATCAACGTCAACTTCCGTGGCGTATTCTTTAAATTCCAGCAGCACCTGCGGCACATCGAAAATTCCTAGCGTCAGAAACTCTCGCCGATAATGGGACGAACCTGGTCAATATTTCGATCAGAAGCAAGCTTGATCATAATTTCTAGCTTTTCCATTTTCACATAGATGGGATCGTTGTACTTGCAGAAAAAAACCTGAAGGTAAAAGAGGAGAACACGATTCAGTAGCGCGAGGTGGTCAAGCTTGCCTTGATTTCATGAGCAAGAATAGTCGGCCTGCGCTGCACAATGAGGTTGATGTTCCGCAGGGCCACGTATTGAATCTCTGGTTCAGCGGAGATAAGCGTGACGAGAGGTGGTGCCATTTTCTTGCACAGATTCCGGACAACATCAGTGCTCGTAATAAGCTCCATTTGTTGCAGAATAACCTGTGGACGTGAAGTCAGAGATGTTATCTAGCCTGGTTTTACCTTGACAGCGGAGAGAACCACCGCACAGTTAGCGTGCTGGAGGCGCGGTGTCACTCTCTCCACAATGTTCTCTGCATCGCGGACGTCCTTGGCTTTGTATCTTGAGAGAGCGTCTAGGATAAAGACCTGACCCCACCTGGAACGAAAGAAAAAAGAAAAAAGAAACCAATGCTTAGCAGTGAGAAGCCATAGAGAGGGAGAGCATCTGTACCATTGAACTCACTCTGTGCATTCGTTGAGGGCAGCCAGGAGCTTGAAGAGAGTGTGGTTTGTGATCTCGAAGATGATTTTGGTGGTGCCCTCCTGGATCTCGGCAAGGGCAGCGACAGCATTGGCAACCACCATCGGATTGCTGTCGGAGATGAGATCCTTGAGGATTTCCAGAAAGCCTCGGTCTTCAACCAGCTCGGCATTGATATCGTGCAGCTTGGCAACACAGATAGCGGCTGTCTTTCGGACGTAGGGGTCGTCGTCCTGGGAGTGGAAAAGATGGAAGAGCTTAGACGAAACATGGAAGCAAGGCAAGGAAAGTGGTACCTTGAGACATCTCTGCAGTGGATCACACAGGTACTCGGTGATCTTGTCAACTCTAATGCAGCCCATGGTCCGGACAGCCAGGGCTCGGATCAAGGGGTTGGGATCTTGAGAATCCTGCGAGGAACGAGCGTGTGAGCGAGCAGCAAATCCGGGGGGCTCACCTTGACAAATGTGTTGACTGCGAGAATGGCGAGATCCGGCTGGCTCTTGGCGTAATTGATGAGGTAGAGGTAGACGAGCTTCTTGAGCTCCAGGTTCTCGGTTTGCATGCAGTTGACGACATCGGTGAAGAGCATGCTCACGTCCTTGCCCACCGTCATTGCAGCAATCACCTTCTTCACCGCATCCTTCTTCTTGTCCTGGAAGGCAATGCGGGCGGGGCGAGAGAGTGAATGTTAAGAAGAGGGTTTTTGAAGCGCGCGTCGAAGCGCCGCCGCGCATACCTTGTACTGCGAGTTGAGCTCCTCCTTGAGCTCGTGGATCTCTCCCTTTTTGGTGGTGGTGAAGTACTTGGAGTCATGGCCGCTCATGATCTCTCCTCCTCCTCCTCCAAACAATGTGCCCTTGCCCTAAAACTAGGCTCTATTCTGTCTCTCTCCTCTCGCTTAAGCGCTACCTAGCGCGGCAAGAGCACAATGCCCAATTCGTTTCACAAGGGAACGATAGAACCATAGAACCATAGATGTAACAGGGTAGCTACTACGAGGATCTAGAGGTTGAACATGACCTTGATGGCGCTGCCACCTTTGGCACTCGTCTCAAACGCCTCCACAACCTCCTGCTGCGAGAATCCAAAGCGGTGCGTGATGAGCGGCTTGACATCGATGCGCTTGGACTCGAGCAGCTGGATGCACAGCGGGTACGTGTTGCGGTAACGAAAAACGCCCACCACGTCCACCTCTCGCGCCGCCGCCGCGCCCGTGAGCGGCAGCGTCATCTCGGTGTGCCCCATGCCGATGAGGCACACCTTGCCCCCCGCCTTGCTCGCTCGCAGCGCCGTCAGCATCGTCTTGCCCACCCCCACGCAGTCCATGGCCACGTCCACCTCTCCCCCCGCCACGCCCTGGATCTCTCGCACCTCCGCCTCCACGTCCTCGGTCTTGGTCGACACCAGCACCGTGCTCACGTCCGGCGCTCCCAGCTGCGCAGCCACCGCCAGGCGAGACGCGTCCACGTCCGTGACCACAATCCGTGTGGCGCCGAAGGCTCTGGCCGCCAGCATTGTCACCAGGCCGATGGGTCCGGCACCCAGCACGAGGAGCCGGACGCCTGGGACGATGCCCGCCCTCCGGCACCCGTGGACACCCACGCTCAGCGGCTCACACATGGCGCCCTCCTCCACGGACACGCCATCCGGCAGCTTGAAGCACAGCTCCGCCGGATGGACCACCTGTGAGTTCCATCACAAAGTGAGTTCCATAGTTCCATAGACACGAGTACTTACGTAGTTTGCGAGCGATCCATGGATGGGGGGCGTGGCGAAGAACTTCATCTCGGGGCAGAGGTTGTAGGAGCCGGTCTTGCAGTGTGTGCAGTGGCTACACGAGACGCCGGGCTCCAGCGCCACGCGGTCCCCAACCTTGAGATGCTTCACATTACTGCCCACCTCCACAACCAGCCCCGCGCACTCGTGCCCGATCACCATCGGCTCTGTCACCACGAAATCCGCGCAACGGAGGTGCTACATCAAGCAAAGATGAGGAATCCACGAGATCAAGTTCACAATCAAGCTTACCCGGTAGTAGTGGACATCGCTGCCACAGATACCGACCGCCTTCATCTGGACCTTAACTTCATCGCTGCCAGTCGGGGGCAGCTTAAACGGCTCCACGCGAATTGTGTTGGCCGCCACCAGCCAGGCGCCCAGGTTCTCCTGCTCTTGGACATCGCCCATAATCACCGCCCTCTTCTCGCTCTACGTGGAAACACTTGGAAACACTTGGAAACAGGGTCTGGTCTATTATATATTTATCTATGTCATCTTTATCGTAAGAAGATAACGTGATACGATACAGCAATAATTAGACCTTGGAGGTGGCTGCTGCCGCCCCAACGGGGGAGCCTTGCTTGGAGGTGATGCGCTCAAACACATCTCTGATCTTGAGGCCCACAATGGTCTGGAACAAGCCCGTGCCGTTGTTGCTGCCCGGGAAGTCGGCGTGCTTGAGCATTTGCTGCGTGATCTCCCCGTAGAAGCGGGTCGAGATGTTGCTCAGGTGGCTTTCCACGTAGATGAGCTCGTCCAGTTTGTCAAACTGTCCATCCATCTCCAGCACTGACACCTGCATTGCACAGTAATGGTTCGCCACTGTTCAAAGCGCAGTGAGCAATCAAACTCACCTCGTTGTCATAGTAAATGTCTGGGCCGTAGAAGAACTTAATCCCCGGGTAAGAACACGTGAGCTTCCTCCCGCAAGGTATCCACGAGATTGTGGAGCCTTCGTCAAACAGGTAGACGGGCTCAAAGTTGTCAACGCCCTCTTTCATGATCATCCGAACGCGAAGGACTTTGCCTTCGTTGTCGTCTGGAATGAGCTGCGTGGGAAGCACTTGAATCACCACGTCTGCGTACTGCTTCTGTGTGTCTGTTTCAACACCGCAGCTTGATATACATATCTTGAAAGCAAATCAACTGGTCACCTATGTAAGCATCAAAGTCGGGCTTGCGGGCAGCAATGCTGGCCTTGATGCTCTCCAGGCTGTGTCCCCTCTCGGCCATATCTCGCTGCCAAAGAGTTTCAATACAAAGACTTATGTTTGCACCCACTCACCTGGATCTTCCAAGCAAACTTGACAGCATCGCTGATATCAAGGTATATACTGAAGTCGAGGAGCTCTCTCACTCTAGAATCGAACCTTGGAAACACAACAAGACCGTCATGTTGGCGCGTCAACTTAGTCTTTCAAGTTAAAGCTTACTTACATGGGGTGGAGACCTTCAATGACAAGGATCTTGGGTGACTGGATGAGTTCCGGAGGGTCAAGCAACCCCGATACGTGGTTGTAGATGGGCTTCTGGACAGCTTTGCCTTCCTTGAGTGCCTTGACCTGCTCGTACATAAGATCGAAATTGTTGGCCTTCGGATCCAGCGCCGTCACCCCTTTCTCCTTCCTGCCCGTCCTGTCCAGCGAGTGGTAGTCGTCCAGGCAGATGACCGTGGTGGTGTCGCTGATGAGCGTGTTGGAGTCGGGATTCCCACCTTTAGGAGGCGACGCTGCTCCCCCAAACACGCTCGTCAGCCGCCTCATGAATGTGCTCTTGCCGCACCCAGAGTCTGCTGCCAGACCAATCACAATCGTCTTGCCATCGCCACCAGCCGCACAACAAACCAGGACTCTCACCCTGCTGCTGCTGCTGCCGCTGCTGCCACTGCCGCCGCCGCTGCTGCCAATCCGGGCTCCGAGCTTGGGGAAGGAAAACAATGAAGAGGCATGCGATCCTCTCCACGGGTGGTGCTGCAGTATGCCGATGTTGCTGCTACTGGAGCTAGCCTGGAACCACCCAATTCGGCTGCTGCTGCCGCTGCTGCTGCAAGCCGCTGCCATGGTCGATCGATCAAACAAAACACTCCAATGCGGAGTGTAAGCGAGTAATCAAGCCACAGTGCGTCGAGCGCAGAGGGCAGCGATGGCCCCTGGTGGCGAAGCTAGGCCCGAGCAAGCGTGCACTAAGCCAAGCCCCTCCTCTCTCAGCAGTGGAGGGAAGATTGTGTGGTGCTCAGCAGATGGCCTGCCACGTCCTCATGCCCACGAATGAATGATTGGATTATCACGTAACTCTAGTTCCATAGTTCCATGGCGGCCATGGCTTTAGAAAACCACCATTTTGAGCAATCATGGTGTCAACTTAAAGCCAGAAACACAAACACAAACACAAACACAACAAGCTCTAGGACTTCCACACCCGGAGAAATGCATCTTGCCCGCCACTAACAAGCTCGCTAACGTCTGCGAAGGCCAGGCCGCTCACACCGCCCGGATGAGCTCCTCTGATAGATATCCGCGCTGAAGCAGGCCGGTCCACGTAGTAAACATAGATGCAACCGTCTACACCCCCAGTCGCAACCTTGGAGCTGTCCACAGCCCACGCAATGCACTGGATGCTCGTGGTGTGATAGAGCATGTTTTTCAGCTTGACCTGCAGTGGAACATCAACCGCAGACTTGTGAGTAAAGTAGAGAAAGCAAAATGCAAAGGGAGGTACCTCTCTCTTGACTGCGTCCCACACAAAAGCTTCCCGGTTTTGATCACCCGAAGCGAACATCGTGCCATCCGGGGAGAACTCGAGTGCCGTGACAGATGCACGATGACGTTCGAGCAAGGCTTCCTGGTGCAGTCCGTCCTCACCGAGCGAGAACAGGTGCAGCTTGCCATCTTTGTCCCCAACTACGGCAGCTTTCGCGTCTGGGGAGACTGCAACAGCAGTAGCTGTAAAACGAAGTGATAGCCGGGAGACGACAGCAAAGTCTCTGAGCAGGATCAGCTCTTGCTCTGTGCAGGCCAGCACCACCTCACCATCTCTGCAGGGAGCAATCGAGAACCCGACGCAAGCTGCTCCCAGATCAATCGTGCTCTCGGTCCCTCCCACAATTCTTGAGAGCTGTGAGATCCAAAAGCTCGGTTAGAGTACCGAGTAAAGGTGGCATACCATACCTTGGTTTGCCCGCATGCCACAAATGTATCCTCACTCCCAGCAACAGCTCTCAAGCCGGAGACACTGGAGGAGAAGCCATTGCCGTCGAGGCGAGCTACAAAGCCCTCTCCAAGTCTCCACTTGACAATGACCCCGTCGTAGCTGCTCGAGTAAATGTCCGTGCCCGATGCGGAAACAGCCGTGATGCTCTTGGAGTGTCCGGAGAGCACCTTGTCTGGTGCCGTCAGGTCTCCGGTTGCTGACAAAACGTTCATCCTGCCATCCAGGGAGAAGGTGACGATGGAATCGTTGAGCCAAAGACAGCCGAGTTGCACGTCTGACGAGCAGAAAGTTGCCTCCAGGCTCCCGCCGGATCCATCTCCCGCTATGCTCCACAGCTTAGCGGTTTTGTCCGCGGATACTGTCACCACCTGGGCAAAAGACTTAGAGAGGTAACACGGCACCGAGGTAGTCTTACTTGGCTGCTGCTTGCGTTCCAGCTCACAGCGTAAATGCTGCCTGTATGCCCATCGGACGAGGACGAGACGAGGCCAGTTCTGCTACCCGTCTTCCCGTCGAACACGATGAGCTTCTTGTCGGATCCAGCCGTGACGAACTTGGTGCCGTCGGGAGCAAAGCGCACACAGTTGACGAAGTTGGTATGATCTCTTGGTTGGCAAAGCTCGTATCAACGTGCCGCAAACGAAAAGCAGAGAAACGAAACCATACCTGTGAGAGGCAGTGAACTTGAAAGGCGGACCCTCGTAGAAGTTGACAACGAAGTCTTCCCCGCCGGTGGCGATCCGGAACGGCCGCGTGGGCTTGAATGCGCAGCTCAAGACGCGCTTGGAGCTGCCCTCGAAGTCTCCAATGCTGGTGCCCGTGTCCCAGCTATAGAGACATCATGGTTGTAGGAATCCATCCCATCCAGAAACAAAGCCCAGCCAGCCACGGCACTCACCTGAACGCTCGGACGAATGACTTCCCTTTGCCGTCGCCGCACACAACAATGCGCTGGCCATCGTGTGACCATTGCAAGTCATCGATGCGCCCCGAGAGAGCGGTGTACTCGTGCCTGAGTATGTGATCCCCGGTGGCGCCCCAGATCCTGACAATGCCGGACACGTCCGCCGAGGCTATCCATTGCGCGTTCGGCGAGATCCTGGCCACACTCACCGGGTACGCGTGCTGGCAGTAGACATCCACGAGCAGGGGCTGCACCAGGCTGCGAATCACGACGCTGCGACCATTGCAGTAGATGATCCAGCTCGATCTGGCATCGCCATCCACGAGAATTCCCCGCCCACGCTCCACACTGGGCATACAAGCGTACACCTCCGCCAAGCTCATCTCGCTCGCTGTACTCTTTAACTTAGGGCATGGTTTGCATCGATTTTACACGTACAAACGGTACAAGCGCGGCTATAGCTACCTAAGTGCCGTTTCTTGTCTGCGCCCATGCCAGAAGCAAGCCAAGGCATCGACGTAATACCTGTATCGCCTCTTCCACGCTCTCGCTCTCGCCAAAATGTGAAAAAGCCGGAAGAATTTATGGCCTTGTTTGTTCAGCTGGAACGGCCTCGGCTGTTGCCAGCGGCACCAAACGCCGCCAAGAGCTGCAGAACGTCAGTGATGGACACCTCCTGCGGCTGCTGCTGCTGCTCAAACTGCCGCCGGTTTTGGTAGTCGTACGCAGCGTCCTTGGAACTGCGAGCGTTTTGCAGCACCGTCTCGAAGTCGCTCTGCTTGAGAGGCCTGGCCGTCTGCCACCAATCCACACAGATGAGATCAATCAAGCTATGGGAGGAGAGCTCAGTCACCTGTTGCTCGCTCGAGTGCCCGTTCTTCTCCTTCTCCAGCAGGTCCCTTATGGGAAGATAGGCGGCCTGCTTGCACAGCTCCGTCAAGTCGGAGCCACTGTAGTTCTCGGTCAGGCTCGCCAGATAGTCGATGTTCACCTCGTCCTCCACCGCCTCATCTTTGAGAATGACCCGCAGAATGCTGGCACGCTGCCTCGCATCCGGCATGCCCACCTCGAACGCGCGGGGAAGCCGGCGGAGGATGGCTTCGTCGAGCTCCCATGGCCTGTTGGTGGCGGCGAGAACCATGACCCTGGCACTCTCTGCACACACAACACAGCTCAGGAGCTTCTTCATCCGTTTCGGCTTCCAACCACGGCATACTTACGGTCAGTTGTGAAGCCGTCCCAGAGTGCCATGAACTCCGTCTTCATGTGAGTCATGGATTCGTGCTCCGTCGCACGCCTCTGCCCCAGAAAGCTGTCAACCTCGTCGATGAAAATGATGGATGGCTGCAGCTTGTACGCGAGAGAGAAGACGGCGGTGACTGCACCAACAAGAGTCAAGTGAAACGCGGTTGGCGGCAAGCAGCCGAAGAAAGCGAGGAGAGGAGGAGAGGTTTACCGAGCTTCTGAGCGTCTCCGAACCACTTGGACATGAGAGTGGCAATCCGGACGTTGATGAAGACGGCTCGCGACTCCTTGGCAATCGCCTTGGCCAGCAACGTCTTGCCGGTGCCGGGAGGCCCGTAGAGCAGCACTCCCTTCTGAGGTCCCAGCAGCTTGCCATGAGCAAACAGCTCCGGGCGCTGGAGAGGGAGGATGACGAGCTCGAACAGCGAGCTCTTGACGTCCTCGAGGCCGCCAATGGAGTCGAAGGTTACGTCAATGTCCTCGGGGTTGATCACATCACAGGCGATCATGTCCTAGAGTTGAGACACTCGCGATTTCACTAGGAGCAAGCAAGCAATGCAGGGAAACAGGGAGTAGTACCTCATAGCTGTTGGTTTGCACCAGTGAGCGGCCCAGGCGCTTGGCAATCTCCTTCTTGCGCTCGGCGGCTTTCTTGGCCTGGTAGCGATTTGGGTCGAGATGGCGCACCCCAACGAAGAGGACCAGGCAGCTCAAGGCGGCGCTGACGGCGTAGAGGAAGAGCTCTTGCCCTAGAGATGTGTCGCGCCCTCCCATGTCCCTCGCTCCCAGCAGCGAGCAAGCAATGCCCTAGGTAAAAAGTATAGGTAGGGCACAAGTCAATATTCCTCTCTTCTCTCTCACCGCGCGATGGCTGCCGCCACTGGTGCCGCCGCCGCTCCGGCCGGAGATCACAAGGGCAAGAGCAAGCGCAGCAGCGGCACCAGCCCGCCCAATTCGATGCTCTACGCATTTCTCGTCTTTGTTGTCACGCTGTCCTTGCAGCAGATGAACAAGAAGACGCTGGCGTCGTCGGAGCTCTACACCATCCTGGGCGGATTCATCAGCTCGCTCCTCTTCCTCCTCGCGCTCACTGTGAGTCTCGAGTGGTTTCGCGTGTAGGCTGATTGCGATCTCCCCGATCTCTCCCTGCAGATGATTGGCAACCTCCAGGAGTTACTGGGCAGCCGAACCGGATGGGGTGCTGGTGAGTAGAAAACGAAGGTTTTGGTGTGGAGGAAAGGCTGAAACTCTTGCGGTGTGTGCGTGCAGTGCTTGCGGCGGAGCTCATCGCTTGCGTTGCTGCCGGGGCGGTACATAGAGTGTGCATCACCACATGGTAAGGAGCCATCCTCTCCTTGTCTCTAAAGAGAAAGAGATTGCTCACTCCGCTCCCTCTCAACGCAGCTTCATCTTCTCGCTCCTCTTCGTGTACGAAGTGAACAAGGTGTCCTTGACGGCACAGCAGCAGGCCGCGGTGACGGGGCCGGACACGAAGAAGAAAGTTCACTGACTACTGCCGGGTAGCAATCGGTATCTCGGTTTTTTCTTCTTGGTTGTTATACAAACTCCTTGAGCCGCTTCACCAGCGTCTCAAATGCCTTCCTCTTGCTTACCGGCTTACTCCCTCCAACAACACCGCGGAAGAGGCGATCCGGCAGGTCCTTGTACTTCTCCGCCACCACCATCACCTTCTTGAAGTCGAGCGCCGGGTAGCTCCTCTCCCGGATCACGGGGTTGAGGAAGAGGTCGGGCTGGTTGGACAGCAGCAGGTTGACGAGCTGCCTCGCCTCCGCCAGGCAGCTCTTGAGATCGGCGCCGCCACCCAGCCCCTGCAGCTGCGGCGTGGAGACGAAGCGCTCGTGCGCAAACGACTCGAGCACCCGCAGGTCGGCGTCGACGCCCATGACCGAGTGCACGTTGAAGCGGCGCACGTCGTCCGACACAAAGGTGGCGACGATGCAGTCGGACACGTGCGTGAGGACTCCGCGGATCCAGCGGTCGAAGGCGTGCGGAGGCAGGATGGCCTGCGCGCTGGGCGTGAGCGTCTCCAGGTAGATGAGCACCTCGTTGAGGTAGGCGTTGCCGTGGTCGGGCGCGTCGTCGGGCGTCCAGTCGATGTGCGCCGTCAGCAGCATGAAGTCGTCGATCTTGGAGTTGACAAGCTCCAGCATCCGCTCCTGCGCCGCCGCCTGGGAGCTGCGGAGCACCGCCCGCGACTGCAGCGGGGCGGCCAGGCGCGGCGGCACGCCGCAGCTGCGAGCAATGTGCGCCGCGAAGAAGTCGCATGCGCGCTCCAGCACGGTGAGGTTGGCGGCCAGCTGCATGGCCTGGGACATGCCCAGCGTCGGGCTGCGTACCAGGCGGAGCAGCGCCTCCGCCACGCTCGTCGACAGCAGTCGGTCCGTGTACTGGCGGACCGCGTCGTAGTAGTCGGTCGCGCCGCCGGCGTGTGACAGGAAGCTGACCGAGTCGTCCGTGAAGGAGCGAACGATGCGGCACAGGTTGGGGACGCTGGCGGAGAAGGGCGCCACGTACGGGAACGCCGGGGTGGCGTCGCTGGCCTGCAGTCCAAACGCGGTTACGTGCATACCATACTCGTACTCCTTGCGCAGCAGCATCTGTTCGAACTTGTCGTTGGCGAGGACGTCGTGCACCGAGGCCCGCCGCTCCGCCAGCAGCAGCTCGTGGTAGCGCTCGCGGCACCGGTCCAGCGCCTCGAGCAGCGGCGCCACGTTGTAGCCATAGCCGCGCAGTGTCGCCGCCAGCAGGCTGGCGTTGTCCACCACCAGCAGAATGTGGTTGGCCCCTGGCATTCGCATCAGCTGCTCCTCCACCAGCGACGCCATGCGCGTCACCGCCGTGTCCCACAGCGACTCCACCGCCAAGGCATCCACCAGGCCGCCGGCGGTGCGCGCCACCCGCTCCTCAACGATGAAGAAGCCCGCCATCTGGGCAAAGAGCGACTGGTGGCACTCGAGGAAGGGCCCCGGCGGGAGATGGAGGTCAGACTGGAGCTGGAGACGCCGGTTGTCAAGATAGTAGGCACGGAAGTGAGCGCCCAGGCCCAGGCACTCGTGGATGTAGTGCGCACGGTACACGGGCGTCAGTTGTAAGCGCTTGGCCACCTCGGCTTCCTCCTCTTCCTCGCCACTCGCGTCCACCAGCAGCACGTAGCACGACGACTGCAGCTCCTGGTCACCTCCGCCGCCACCACCCCAGCGGCTCTGCTCCTCGGCCTGCCGCTGCCGCCCCCGCATCTCCTCCTCCCGCTGCCGAGCGCTTGAGGCGGCACCCATGGACAGCTGCCCGATGTCCCGTGCCACCCCGCGGATGTCCACCAGCCAGTCGCTAAACTCGGCGCTCACCTTCTTTTCCACGTAGCCCCGGAAGCGCGGGATGTGCTGCTCCAGCGCGCTGGCCAGCGCGGTGGCGGGCATCTTGCGCTGCTGCAAGTAGTCGCGCTCCACGCAGTCCACTGCCTTGAGCGCCGGGTAGAGCTCGTCGCGCTCGACGTGAGAGTTGACGCGGCTGCACGCCTCCAAGGCGCCGCTGCAGTGGAGGAGCGCCTCCACCGCGGCCGCCACGTTGGCACGGGTGGCGTGCCACTGGATGAGCTCCTCGAGGCAGCTCAGCAGCGATCTCCCCACCTCTTGCATCTGCGCATTGTCGTCGGCGAGGCGCTTCTTGAGCTCCTCGGCGTCGACGAGCACGTTGCGCAGCTCGTCCACCGCGCGGATAAACTCCTCGTAGTGCACCCGGCACAGCTCCTCGATCTCGCCCTCCTTGCTCTTGACGAAGCCCTTGAGCTGCTGGAGCAGGGCCTCCGGCCGTCCAATCTCGAATGCCGCGCGGATCAAAGTGCCCAGATCCTCACCATTGCCAATCGCAGATGCCAGCGTCGTGGATTCGTCCTCTTGCCCTGCCGCCGCCGCCGCTCCTCCTCCTCCTCCTCCTCCCCTCTTGGCCACGGCCATCTCGCTACCTACCTGTGAATGACCTAAAGGTAACAATGTGGCAGGAGCTCGGGGTGGAGGCCAAAGAGGCGCCTGTGCGGGAAGCTCCTGCCCTATTCGCTTCCATCGCCATCCTGCTCCTTGCGCCAGCAGGTACGTTTGCTTCGTTGCAGCAAACGAAGCAAATCCACGCTCTAGGCGAATGACGCGCAGCTCAGTGCGGTGCGAGTGTCATTGCACAGGTTGATGGGCTCACAGCCTCGGAGGCCGCCATAGCTCCCTCGCTGACTCATTGACAAGTAAGAAAGACGATCTCCAGTTCGAAGAGGAAAGTGATACGTGCATGCCCGACTGTGCCAGGAATCATCGAGCACCACGATCTCATCAAGCTCCTCAGCAACGTCCGCAACAATCTCAACACAACGCTCAATGTGTGTGTATCCTTCTTCCACTCAAAGAAAGGCTCCTCCCACGGTACGTTTTGCTCGCAGGACGTGGAGGGGATGATGTCCATTTCAGTCGAGGCTGCGGAAGCCAGAGCATCGCTCAATGACGACAAGGAACTCGTGACGACTTTGGAGGCATGAAACTCTCACTTCCTATACACTCGCTGCTAACTTTGCCGGCATTTCTTCCTAACTTAGATGGCCCTCGAAGGGATTTGCACTGGCGACAGCATCTTCCAGAACTTTGTGACCAGCTTGTCAAGGAAGAGCCAAGCGCTGCATGGGATGAAGCGAATGCGTTGAGCCTCTCTGCCTCTCTGCCTCTCAGCTTGTTCTGACGCAGATATAAACCCGCTGTGCAGATCGGCGGGGAGCTGCCGGATGTGTATGACTTTGTGGCCCCGTGGTACAGTCTAGGTTGCGTGCATTTTCAAGTGCTGAGACTTTGCTGCTGCAACTTACAGCTATGAGATCTTCCTGGTGATGGTGCAGCTATATACGGGGTGCTTCATCCAGATGCTGAGGGCCCTGGCTGACCGTGCAAGTGACCACATCCTCAAGGTCGGTGTACATTGTGGAGCTTTCGAGTAACTTCTAAACAGGTATACAATATCAAGAGCAGTTGCTAAACTTGGGGGTGGATGAGTTAAGCACCGCGCTACTTGCCAAGGACTCGCCAGAGTAGAACTGCCGCCTATCGATAAGATCTCGTTTGCGGCCTTACGCAGGGAGATGGAAGGCGCTGGCTATGCTACTGCGGGAGAGGAGAATCGGATGCTGGCTCAGGCCTACTGCGATTGAGCAGCTGATTACTCTAGGAAAACAGGTGGTTATTCTATAGACTGGAGGGTTTACTTCTTCCTGTGTTCAATATCATTCTTATAAAAACTCAAACCATTTCCTGTCGCAATATTTGATGTCAACCATAGCCGATCTTCCTTGACAGAGGTACGACATCCACAAATCTCGCACAAACTCCCAAATAACGATGGCCACTAACGTGTTGCAGAGCATATGAATGCACACAGATATGAGGTGATGACAACAATTCTGGAAGAGGTGCTCCTGTCGCCATGGTTCCACAAATAAGCATCCAGCACTTGATTCAGCTTTTCCCATGTCTCTTTGGTTTTAGATATGCATCTTCCTCCACATCTAGTGTGTGCCTCACAAGTGTTAATTGTCCCTTTAACTGAATAATACATGTTTTTGGGGTCTGTTAGTGCCCATCTGGAGGCATAAGACCAATTGAAACAAGCCTCCTACACTCCCTACTCTCTCTTATGATTGAGCAACCCCATTCTACACAGGTAGATAGCCAAGAATGAGTGGACCTTTCATATGAATCAGATGCAGGTTGTGGTCTCAACTTCCTCTTCAAAACCTTCCCGATATATTGAAACGCTACCGGCTTCTCCCACTTATTCAGCATGATATGGTCCTATTAGGATTAAATTCTCACAGTCCCTAATACTCTGATACTAAGGTTCAGGTCCCTGTGAGGATTTAAACTAGTGAAGTTAGGTGTTATCCACAGGCACGCTGTTACCCGTGGAGAGCTTCTATTATTGCTTATGTGGCACAAACAACTAATACAAAAAATATGCCACGTGTCACTTCATGTGCCTGCCTCCCGTTAAAGATGGTTAAAATGGGTTTGTTGACGGAACATACCCCATCCGACATATTCTTAGTGGTAATGGGCTTTTAACCGTCTCGTATATAACTTACACTAAATCATATTTTAAACACCTGATTAGCCACCACAAGAATACAAGACGAAGAAACCCACCTGTTAGTGCACTATATCCAGGCCACCACCATAACCCATAGAAGGATTAGGAGGATAACTGCTTCCAGGAGGAACATAAAGAGACTTCACACTCCAAATTCCAGTTGTTGAATCAAAGATAACTGGAGTAAGCATAAACCACATAGTATGGGTTCATCATACACCTCAAGGAGGTGGAAGCTGTCAAGGCTGGATCCAGCTCAAGATCATAGAGTGTTGTTGCTTGTGACTTCCACTTGTGGTGGAGATGGACAAAGGCAAGCTATGCCATGCTCCACAATGCCAGAAGTGGTCCAATTCCTCCAGCTGCAAGGAATGAGGATGCTACTGATTCTGCAGCTGTTACTGTTCTTGTTCCAAATCAAAAACTGGCCTTTGCGACAAGGGCCCAAGTTTGGAACCTCAATTCAGAGCCTCGACTCTCACCTGCTGTCCAGTGGCCGTATGTGATCCACCTCATCTGCTGCTACACCCTGATGAAGAAGCCTGCCATCTGGGCGAATAGCGAGTGGAGGAAGGCGCGGAGGTCCGACTGGAGCTGGAGGGTTGTCAAGATAGTAGGCACGAAAGTGAGCGGCCAGTCCACTCGCGTCCAAGCAGCACGTAGCTCGATGACTCCGCCACCGTCGCCACCCCAGCGGCTAGGGCTGCCCGATGTCCCGCGCCACGGAATCCTTGAGCGCCGGGTAGAGCTCGGATGTGGCGCGGCTGGCAGCGTCGTCGAGTGCTAGGTATTTCTCTCTTGAGCAAACGAATGACCTAAGGTAGCAATGTGGCAGGAGCTCGGAGTGGAGGCCAAAGAGGCGGCCGTGCGGGAGGTTGCCAAGCTCCTGCCATATCCCGACTCACTCGCTTCCATCGCTATCCTCCGCACTGACTACTCCTTGCGCCAGCAGGTAGGCTTCGTTACACTTCCACTCCTGCGCCTAAATCCACGCTCCATTCCTTCGGTCGGATCCCTCCAGGCGAATGACGCGCAGCTCAGTGCGAGTGTCATGGCACAGGTTGAGCAGGCCAAGGCCGGGATCGATGCGCTCACCGCCTCGGAGGCCGCCATAGCTCGCCTAGCTGACAATTTCCTCGTTATTGACAAGTAAGAAACACGATCCAGTTCAAAGCTAGAAAAGTGATACACGCATGCGCGACGCAGGCTGTGCCAGGAATGCCAGACGCTCATCGAGCACCACGATCTTATCAAGCTCCTTAGCAACGTCCGCAACAATCTCAACACAACGCTCAAGGTGTGTGTATTCTTCCTCCACACAAAGAAAGGCTCCTCCCACGGAACGTTTTGCTCGCAGGACGTGGAGGGGATGATGTCCATTTCAGTCGAGGCTGCGGAAGCCAGAGCATCGCTCAACGACGACAAGGAACTCGTGACGACTTTCGAGGCATGAAACTTTCACTTCCTATACACTCGCTGCTAACATTGCCGGCATTTCTTTCTGACTATACAGAGCCTGACGGCCCTCGAAGGCAAGAAGCGATTTGCACTGGCGACAGCATCTTCCAGAAAGGAGGAAGCCAAGAAACTGCGGTCAGCCACACATTGTTTCCTCTCCTCGTTACATTGTCTCTCTCACGTTGTGCCTCTCCAGGGACTACTTTGAGGATGTCAATAGGACGCGGGACAAGTTTGAGCAAATGCTTTGGGATCACATAAGGAACTTCTACCAGCTGTCTCGAAAGAGGTTCATTCTAGCTTCTGTGCGGACAGTGTCACCATGTTTTTCGTTGCATGCAGCCCACAGACACTCGTTCGTGCGCTCAGGTTCGCCCCCATTGTCATTTCTCTCACTCACTCACTTGTGTTGGCAGGGTAGTGGAGATGCAGGAGGTGCTGGATCAGCAGCATGCCGAAGAAGCTGCTGAAGCCGAGGGAGCTGGACCGGTGGCACTCATATCCAACACCAGGGCCGCTCGAAAGTAACGCTGTTCCCGAGAACTCGTGACCAAGTTTGGCTAATGGTTGTTTCAAGGTCCGCGGTGGCGTCCGGGGTGGCGTCCGAGCCTGACCAACCACCTAAAAACGGCAAGGGGTACAAAGATCGCTGCTATGACGAGATACGCAAGTCCGTGGAGGACAGGTTCCATACGCTCCTTACCAAGGTATGCTCTCCGCGTAGTGTAATGCGAGCTGCTGCTTAAACGATAACTTTGTGACCAGCTTGTCAAGGAAGAGCTAAGCGCTGCATTGGATGAAGCGAATGCGGTGAGCCTCTCTGCCTCTCAGCTTGTTGTTACGCGGCGATAAACTCGTTGTGCAGATCGGCGGGGAGCTGCCGGACGTGTATGACTTTGTGGCCCCGTGCTTTCCTCCTCGGTACAGTCTAGGCTGCGTGCATTTTCAAGTGCTGAGACTTTGCTGCTGCAACTTACAGCTATGAGATCTTCCTGCTGATGGTGCAGCTGTATACTGAGCGCTTCATCCAGATGCTGAGGGCCTTGGCTGACCGTGCAAGTGACCTGTCCAATATCGACATTCTCAAGGTCGGTATATAGAGTGGAGGTTTCGAGTGACTTTGCACTTCTGCAGGTAACCAGCTGGGTTGTACAATATCAAGAGCAGTTGCTAAACTTGGGGGTGGACGAGAGTTTAGCACAAGTATGTGCAGAGAGTGGAGCCATGGACCCGCTAATGAATGTCTATGTGGATCGCATGCAATCAACAATGCAGGTAAGAAATGTACCACCTTGCGTGCTCTTGTTTCATGCTTACGTGCTGTATCAGAAATGGTACACCAACATCCTGGAGGCGGATAAAGTGCAGCCGCCGAAGAAAACAGATCAAGGAAAGCTATGGACCCCAGCTGCTGTGGATTTGTTCAGGATACTTGGGGAGCAGGTTCAGAATGTCCAGGAAAACAGCACAGATGTAATGCTTTACCGTATTGCTCTCGCCGTTATACAGGTTTGCATTCAGCACGTTTCAGGCAACTGTTAATGCTGTACTTGGTCAGGTGATGGGCGATTTTCAGGCTGCAGAACGGCATCGACTTGAGGAGCCGGCGGCGGAAATCGGCCTTGAGGCCATTTGTGCGATGGTAAAAGACTCCATTTTTCTTTCCCTCTTCAACCACCATCCTTCGTTCAAGGTTAATAACAACATTCGTTGTCACGATCTCTCCTTGGAATTGAGCGGCAATATTATGGAGTCACTTGCTCCATACTATGCGGAACAGGTAAAAGTTCATCTATCTTCCACTTTCTCTCAGTTTTACCATGTCAGGTCAATTTTGAAGACACATGTAAAGGGTTTCTTGAGGTGGCCAAGGTGAGGAGGGAGGTGATGTAGAATGAGGCGATGACAAAGTGCATTCTCGTAGGAAGCCGTCCAACAAACCGTGAGGGTGATTTTTGAAGATCCTGGAGTAAAGGAGCTACTTGTCAAACTTTATCAGAAAGGTTGCTAGTCCGTTCAACATTGTAGATTTACATCCGTGTCTGTGCAGATTGGCATGAAGGACTTGTGACCGAGTACCTGGTTGCAACATTTGGCGATTACTTTGGGGATGTAAAGATGTGAGACACGATTAACCGAGCTACCCGACTTTCAATGTGCGTTTTGCAGGTATATTGAGGACAGATCGTTTCGAAGGTTTGCCGAGGCTTGTCTAGAGGAGACAATTGTCATATACGTGGATCATCTCCTTACACAGGTTTGCTTCTTTTCCTTAAAAAGCTCAAATCGCATCTGTGTTGCAGAGAAACTACATCAAAGAAGACATGCTTGAAAGGATGAAAGTAGACGAGGAGATTCTTGCCGATTTTTTCAGAGAATATATCAGCCCCGCTGTAAGCTAGATATTGCAATATACCTTGTTATGACGAACGTCTTCATCCTTATGTAGAAGGCAGCCAAACGAGTCCAACCGCTAGCTGAATTTCGGGACCTTGCATCTGCTGAGAGTTTGGAAGCATTCACACTGGCTTACACCAATATGTTACAGAACCATCCTGATTGTCCTGTAAGTACTGTTCACAACCCAAGGGCCTTCATCCTGTTTGATATTTCTGGCAGCCGGAGGTGGTAGAGAAAATATTAGCACTGCGGGAAGGTATTCCAAGGAAGGATGTCCGAGAGGTAAAAGACTGGTCATCTGGTTAATCTCTCTATATTAATCTGTCTATACAGGTTTTCCAGAGTTGCAAGGACATTTATTCGAAAGCAGTCGCATCAGGGGATGGAGTAAAAGTCGGGCTTTTCAGTAAATTGAGTTGCCTCCAGCGGAAAAAGTGAAACCCAAAAATAACCTAAAAGTTAAAAATGGTTAAAGTTCAAGATAAGATTCCGGTTTTTAGGGTTTAAATGCTAATCTGATATAACCCAAGTTCAAATCCAATGAGCATATAATTCCCATTGATGCCAGTAGATATAAAAAGATGGTAAACATGTGATAGATATTAATATTAATGTTATATTAATATATTAATATAACATTTTAGATTATTTTTATTTATTAATGTTTCTTTTGTTTAGATTAATAACAGGCACTATTATCATTATAAAACCAAAAAATATTATGTATATATTATATTTATTTAAAAAAATTAAATATTAAATATTTTACACTTATTTTTATTTACATAATAATCTTCCTTTCAATCACATTTAAAATAACTTATTATCTCAGTAATTATTTATATAATTATTAATGGTATAACTTCTACATAATCTTCTAGGAGTATAATTGTTTCCTTTATATATACAAATTTATCTTCATTATTTTTTATTTTTATGATAATCACAATATTTAATATAGTTTCTAAACTTGTAAAATTTATATAATTATAATTTATTTTAAATTATCTATTATTTTTATATTTAGAAACTTCTAATCATTTTCTCAAATACTCTACATTTGCAGCATTGAATTTAAAAAAAATCGCAAATACAATTACTACTCTATATATTTTTATATTTAATTTGTTATTTCTTATACATATAAACTTTTTATATAAGTTTTTAATCATTTTTCAGAACCTTTATTTTGGTGAATTTTAATACTGTAGTATATATACAAACTTTATTTTATTAAGATTAATATTTTTTATATTGTATATCACAAAATTTTATATCAGCTTTACTTGAGAGTATATAAAAAAATTAAGTTTTATTTTATATAAAAAATTGTTATAGGTAAAAAAATTGATAAGAAAATTATTATTCATAATAAAGTGTAAGTGAAAAATTTTCCTTTTGCACTTTGATAGCCTCACAATGTTTGTTCTAAAGGTTCTGAATCAAAAGATGTATACACAAGATTTGGGATTTATAACGTGTGAGACACAAATCCTTAAGCCCCAAAGTGGAGCCAAAAGGGCACCATATGGTGGTGGCCAAAGCGAAAGCTAAACAAGCGTAACATGTTGTAAGCGACTAAATTTTCCATTCTACTTTAGTCACTTAACCACACCTCCAACCACTTGGAGGAGTTTCACTCACAACTTTCATAAGTCCTATTTCAGACTTGGGCTTGCTAGCCCCGAGAATGGCATCCCCGCCACTCAACCTTTGCACTTGATCCAAGTGCTCCACGTGTCCGATTCGACTGACACCCCAAGGTACCACTGACATATCAACCCGTTACGCTAAGGCCATGCCCCTTTACCTTGGTCACACCAGAGGTCTAACACCACCTGCATCACAGTCCCATCTCTCAAGGACTGGGCCATCTGTCCAAGAGTGATCATTCCAGATCCACTCCTTAGCATCCTTAGGATGCCCCCAGACATGGGGAATAGCCTTCCCTAATATCCCTTTTCCGGTCTTCACCAAGTCCCTTTCTGCCCATGGCCGTGTTTGCCAACACTGCCACTGGATCGAGGACCACAGGCCTGACCACTAAATCTCATTGTCCTCTAGGACTTCCTCACCACTCGACTGTATCCTTGGTCACTACACCAGAGGACTACTCCTCTTCCTTTCTATAGTCTGGGCCTTCAGGACAACATTCGGAACACCGTGGCCCTACACGGGCCTCATGGGTACTCTTCCCGCCTTCCGCCTTTCGGTGCTCTAGCCATGGGCTTAGAGTGAGGTTCCGTTAAGCCACACCAGGTATCCAAGTAGTTAGTGCCACCCACACTTGGACTGGGAGCATCGGCCAGTCGATTGTAAGCGACTAAATTTTCCATTCTACTTTAGTCACTTAACCACACCTCCGACCACTTGGAGGAGTCTCAATCACAACCTCCATAAGTCCAATTCAGGACTTGGGACTTGCTAGCCCCGAGAATGGCATCCATGCCACTCAACATTTGCACTTGGTCCAAGTGCTCCATGTGTCCGATCCCACGACCGACACTCAAAGGTACCACTGACATAGCAGCCTGTTACGCTAAGGCCATGCCTAATTACCTTTGCCACACTGGTAGTCCAATACCACATGCATCACAGTCTTGGCTCTCCAAGACTAGGTAACTCATCCGTGAGTGGTCATCTCAGATCCACTCTTTAGCATCCTTAGGATGCCCACCGACAAGGGGAATAGCCTTCCCCAATATCCCTCTGTCCGTCCCCACTAAGTCCCTTTCTGCCCCTGGCCGTGTTTGCCGACACTGCCACTGGATCGAGGCCCACAGGCTCGACCACTAAGTCCCCCGGTCCTCTGGGACTTCCTCACCATGTGACCGTATCCTTGGTCACTGCATTAGAGGCCTACTCCTCTTCCCTTTCACCGTTTGGGACTTTGGGACAACATTTCGGAACACCGTGGCCTTACGCAAGCCTCATGGGTACTCTCCCCACCTTTCGCCTTTAGGTGCTCTAGCCATGGGCTTAGAGCGAGGTTCCGTTGAGCCACGACAGGTATCCAAGTAGGTAGTGCCACCCACACTTGGACTGGGAGCATCGGCCAGTCGATCTCCCGGGGGAACTAGAGCCGGCTCTTGAACACTTCACCAAGCTACCCCGCTTGTCGGTTCGTGTTCACTCTAGTCTTGGACTTCCCAGTGGGCAGCTCATCACCCAACACTGGGTCCGGCCTTCCTGGGCCAAACTGGCCTTTCCTGGCCAAACTGGCTCCACTGCAGTCCTCCCCCTACTATACTTTTGGAGCTCACCAAACCCCCCAGGGTCTGGGAGACGAACGCTTTGGGCTTTCACCCTCTCAGACTCGAACTCGGACTCGGACTCGGACTCGGACTCGGACTCGGACTCGGACTCGGACTCGGGCTCGGGCTCGGTCTCGGCCTCGGCCTCGGTCTTGTTCTCGGTCCCGATCTCGGTCTCGGTCTCGGTCTCAGTCTCGGTCTCGGTCCCGGTCTCGGTCTCGACTTCGGACTCCATCTCGGACTCCATCTCGGACTCCATCTCGGGTCCATCTTGGACTCCATTTCGGGTCCATCTCGGACTCCATCTCGGGTCCATCTCGGACTCCATCTCGGGTCCATCTCGGACTCCATCTCGGACTCCATTTCGGGTCCATCTCGGGTCCACCTCGGACTCCATCTCGGACTCCATCTCGGACTCCATTTCGGGTCCATCTTGGGTCCATCTCGGACTCCATCTCTGGTCCATCTCGGACTCCATCTCGGACTCCATTTCGGGTCCATCTCGGGTCCACCTCGGACTCCATCTCGGACTCCATCTCGGACTCCATTTCGGGTCCATCTTAGGTCCACCTCGGACTCTATCTCGGACTCCATCTCGGACTCCATCTCGGGTCCATCTCGGACTCCACTTCGGACTCCAACTCGGGTCCATCTCGGACACTTCCACGTGTCATGTGTTGGTCCTTTTGGGTCCCTTTTTGGAGCCTCGCTTTTTGCTCGCTTCGTGCTCGTTCCTCGAGCACTTCGTTGGGAGTTCCACTCCCGCTCTTGACTTTTCAAGTCGGAGCTTTTGGTCCAAACGTGTTACGCTCGTTTGGCTCTCGCTTCAGGCACTACCACGTGGCACCCTTTCCGGCTCTACTTTGGGGCCTACGGATTTTGTGTCTCACAACTCCACCACCCATAGACGAAGTTCGATGTCCTCATCGAATGGTAAACCATTTTGTAAAGTAACACCCGCATGTGTCACCATTTCCATCCTTGGCACTCAGCCAATATTTGTCTATGGTTTGACATTGAAGGCTCGCCATGCCTTTTGCATATTCCTCAATGGTTTGACACCAAAGGCTCACCATGCCTTGCCTATCCTCTAAGGAGGGTAGTCTCTCCAACTTAGAGACTGATTGGACCACATGTAGTGGTTCTCGCCTTTTATTGGTTTAGTTCTCGCTAAACCTCTTAGAGACCCTTCTCTAAGTCAATCCCACTACTCCTCGAGTAGTCTCAATTTCCATCTATTGAACGTTTGCACCTTGGAACTTTTACTCTTTTGACTTTTTGGAAGTCAATTTCCTAGGTGTCTCCAACACCTTGCATTGCACAGATTGTGCAACTCCACTTCCCCATCCTAGGAAGTTCATTACTTGAGGGCACCATCATCCTCTCTTCTATTTCGTGCCACCTTGGGCACTAAGTTCCATTTATCATACTTTGTGCTAGGGCTGCCCATGGCCCTATCATTTCGCTACCTTACCGCTCCCTCCCTTGGAGCTTCCACTTTCGCCAAATCGGAGCAATTCGGAATCCATCCTTGGAAACACACTTCCTTTCCTGCAACTTGTTAGCGTTCAACACATTAGTGTTCTTCACTTAACTTCGTCACTTGGATTCCTTCCAAGGGATTCCATGGCCCTATCTTGGCCACTCATCTTTTGCTCCTATCCTTCATTGTTGCACTCAGCAACACAGGATTGCTACCTCCATTTTTGAGGTATCCCTTCAGTTCCATAGCAAAGACTCTTTTTTGCCAAGTCCGAAGGATGTTCACTAGTACGTCTCTTTAGGATCTTCTGCTATGGGCTCTATCCACGGCCCAATTGTATGACCCTCCCATGGGTCTCTTATAGAGACTACTCTCCTTGACCTCACTATGCTATTGCATTGACATATCTTATTTCCCTTAGGTGTCCTTCCCACTTGGTCACCTTGACCAAACCACACCATTATCAATAGTTCAAATCAACGTTTTGAACTAGGAACCTTGTTCCTTAACATCACAAGGACCTTGTCCTTGTTTTTAGCCATAAGATCACCTAGTGATCTAACTTTGGCACCTTAATAGGTTTTGCCAATAGGTACTAGGTCTCCTCGACCTTTAAGTTGTTGACTATGACCCCGGGGGCATCCCCCACACTTGGCGGTGCGCCCAAGCCAGCCCTTCCAGCCAAGGGTCTATAGCAACTGAGACTGGGTGTCCCCATCTCATTCACCTCGTCCTTGGTGCCCCTTTGCACCAAAGTGTTCAAGTTAGATATGCTGAGCTTTCACACTAAGCAATCTAACCGTG